CGGGCACCCGCTCCTGCGTCCCGGTGGAGTGCCCTGGCCGCCGCCGCCGTGTCACCGAGCTCGCCTGCGCGCGCCGTTCGCCGGCTGCCCGGAGGCCGCGGCCGGGCAGCTGTTGCACCGAGAGGGGGCAGCTGCGGAGTTCCATAACCATAGCAACCGCATCAGCACCGCGGCGGCGGCGGCGAGGGCAGCAGCCTTTCGCTCCTCCTCCGGGCAGCCTCGCCGCGGGGACCTGAGACCCCGCTCGCAGGTGGCACCGGCTCCTCAGTCCGCCCACCGCCGCGGCAAGTGGCGGCAGCTGGTGAAGGCGAAACCAGGAGGGCGAGGGACGCGGGTCCGGCTCCCGGAGGTGACAGAGGGGAGCCCTGCAGCGGGGACAGGTAGGTGCGAGCGCTCCGGGGGGTCTGCAGCTGCAAAACTCTCTCCTCTGTGGCGGTGACGTTTCTGAAAGCGCGGCTGCTAGTTGGATGGCTGTCTATTACTGAACAGGGATTCCGCCCCGGAATGTGGTTTATCTCCGTCTGTTTCCCCTAACCTCTTTGCCCTCTAGTTTTGCCACACATCTGGACAGGTTTTGCGAGGACAAGAGGGGCCGTGGATGTGCTAGATGGGAGACTCTGGGTGAGTGAGGTGGTCCCTACAGAAGCCCCAGGTGGACGCTGAAGGAGCCGCTTCTAGACTCATGTCCATTCCGGGTCTCGCCCCGAGCCAGTGATCAGGAGTTGGGGTGGGGAGAGCCCCAGTGGCGATTCTCTGTGATCCGAGCGAACCCAGAGACGAGTTCTTCCCGTGGCTTGGTTGGGGACTGGGATGGTGGGGAGCACTGCAGCTCAGCTATAGCACGTAAGGGGACCAGAGCGCACACCAGTTCTTGTTCTGTAAAGCCAGGTTCAAACGCAGCCACTGGAGGGGATCTTTAGACAAGGGAGGTGTTGACTATTATCCTTTTGGGACCCAGAGGTATCCCTGGAGTTTGTCATCTTTTTGCCATTGACTATTGAGGGTGTGATGGGAGCAGAAGTGAAGACTGAAGCTAGCAGACGCCCCTCCCCTGTTCCCCACCCCTCCCCGCTTCACCACCCCATTTCTAGCCCCCTGCCCCACACTGCCAGCGGAGCAAAAACTCTGTCCAGCATAGTAACCCCCTTTGCTCCTTGGCCATTGGCAAACTATTCCACTTTCAGACAGCTGGAGATGTCCGTCCACTTAGGTTCATCATTTGAACTGGCGGCCTTGTTTTCCATCAGGTCATGAGGCTGTTGATGTTAAACGATGTGCCAGATCTGAGAGGCCCCTGGGCTGCCCCCGCCCCCCAGTGAGGGACAGCCAGCAGCATCTACAGGCCAGAGAAGGGCCCAAGGCTGGAGCACGATTCCACATGCAGCTCAGCTGGCATCAGCTCCCCAGCAGGCCCTAGTAAGAGAAGGAAGAGAAAGTTCAGTGACTAGTGGGGTCTGAGGCTCTTGGATGTGGGTGAGCCAGTCTCTGGGTAATTTCCTGCACGGAGGCTGTTGACTTTGGTGGGGCTTTCCCTTTATGTCCTGGTCTCAGGGGACAGCATAAGTCCCAGTTAAAAGGAAATGTTATTTAATTGGGCTTTTAATTTATGATGTATTTATGTTACTGAGGGGATGTGATTTGGCAAACATTTACTCTGGGGATTTGTGCCATAATGAGAATGCTATTGTCATATTTAAGGCAGATGCTGAGATGTAGAGGAAAGAGGGCAAGATCTGGGAGTCAGAAACATAGATTTGAACTCTGCCTCATCATACACCTGCTGTGTGACCTTGAGTTGCTCAACCTCGCCGAGGCTTCCTTCTCTCATCTGTATAATGGGGCTGCTGACAACTCTTGCAGTTTACCAGGCTCTGTAACAATCAAAATGGATGTATAGAGGATGTATAAAAAGGGCTTTCAGAATCCAGTGTCTTCTGCAAGTAAAAAGCATTATCTTTATTTTCTTAAAAAAAAAAAAAAGAAAAAAGAAAAACTCCCATCTTCAGATTGGCAAATCATTAAACAGCTGTCAGCTATGAAAAGGGAGTATAAATATTAGTCAGTGACTCACAGTTAAAATACAGTCGTCTGGTCCAAGCTGTGCTCAGGGCACTATACAGGGAAGTTTATCACAGGAACATGCCGCATGCCATCTTCCTTGCTTACAAGTGCTGAAGGTCAAATGCTTTGCCATCAAATGTGGTACTTGTCTAGTTTACAAAAGGGAGATCTGCTCACCACAGAGGTGGACTAGGCATTTTACAGTGTAAACCGAGGTTTGCACGTAATGGGGATGCATTTACATACTGGTTGGATAAATGCATTGAACATGTCCTGGGCTCCTTGTGGGCAGGGGTACTTTCATCCAGCTTTGCTCTGTAGTGACAGATGTTTACCAAATGTTTGCTCAAGCTGACTGAAATTGACTGAATGCTTACAATTTGGTTTTATGGCTGAGGGAATTGTAATTACTGTAATTTCTGGAAGGAACCAGGACCGTATTATACTGTTCCCTGCTCTTTTATACCCATACCCCTGCTTTTGCTCATGCTGGCCTCTCTGCCAGGAACAACCATGTCTCACCTCCCTCTTCCCTTAAGGACCCAATATTGATGCTTCTTCCTACAGGAAGCTCTCCTAGATTCTCTCTGCTATGATATTTCAGATCTGCTTTGTGACAGGCTGCGATGGGTCACTGCTTTCATACATACCTCCTGTCTCTCTAGATCAGCGGTTCTCAACCTGTGGGTCACAACCCCTTTGGGGGTTGAATGACCCTTTCACAGGGGTTGCCTAAATATATCCTGCATATCAGGTATTTATATTATGATTCATAACAGTAGCAAAATTACAATTATGAGTAGCAACAAAAATAATTTTATGGTTGGGGGTCACTACAACATGAGGAACTGTATTGAAGGGGTGCAGCATTAGGAAGGTTGAGAACCACTGGTCTAGATCTTCCGTCTCCTGATGGCAGGTGCCTCTCCCTATCTTCCTCTGCTTGCAGCCCCAGCACCTTGTATACTGACTTCCATGGTGGATGGTTGTTGAGTGAGTAAATCGGCCTTGCCTGGAGCATGACCACTTGCACCAGAAGAGGCATGTACAACACTGCCCCGACTGCCTTCCCATCTCAGAATGTGCAGTGAGCCTGAAGGATGCTTGCTGGGTTACTGTGCACTCGGGTCAGCCCACTGAAGCCGAGTGAAGGGGACCAGAAACATATTTTGCCTTAACACGCTCATTCTTTTACAGTGGGCACTTTAGATTAATTGTAAGCTGGTGTTGAATGGCCTCCATGTAACATTTGTTGAAAACATCTGATGGAATATTTTATGGCTGTCTTTCCCCTCAGTTTATTTCCTTGATTTCAGCTGAAAGTAATGGAAAAACACATAAATTGGATTAAGAAAGTCTGGTTTGAATTCCAGTTCTAAAGAGACTTGAGACTGGGGCACTTAGTCTTCTGATGCCTCAGTTTCCTCAGTCACAAGATGTGGATGTTAACACCAAGTCACAGGGATGTCAAGTACTTGGACTGAATTTATAGCTGTGCAGTAAAAGCAGTTTATAAACTAAGATGTTCCATCTCAGTAAATTCTTTCTTTTTCTAGTTTTTTCCCCTAGGAAATGAACAAAATCGCTGTGATTAATGACATAACATCTGATGGGCTTCAAATCCTGGCTCTTCCACTCCTTAGGTCTGTGTGACCTTCAGCAAGTGCTTTTGCTCCCTGAAGCATTTGCCTCCTCTGCGTGGCATCATGGTGATAGCTGCCTTTCAAAGTAGGCTGGGAAGATACATACAGTAAGAAATGTGTGCCTGACACTCAATACATAATATCTGCTATTTCCAAATGACAGATATAATTGTCAATAATAGAAGGTTCCAGAATTTTCTGAAATGCCCCCAAAGCATTTCTTTCTACCAATTTCTATACCTTTAAAAGAGAGAGAAAGAAAATACTAAGAAGAGAGTAGTAGCATGTGAGATACCGTGAGTGAGCAGAATGGTCTGGAGATTTAGATTCAGGGTCTGGGTCCTCATGCAAATCTGATACCACCTGCTCACAGGTGTTGACCTGGCTGCCTTACATTTCTGGACTTATTTCATCGTTAATTGTCTAGGTGATTTCAGTGGCCCTGCCCAGCTCTGTTTCAGTGTTCAAGTGCATGAATCTATGTTTCTTCTCACTAAGATTACATCCGTGACCCTCAGGCCATCCTTTCTGCCAAGACTCACAGCTTGTTCAAAACTGAATTTCAATGCAGCCCCTCAGCCTCCCCACCAAGTTCCTCTTCTTCTTCCATTCTCCTCAGTCGAGAACACTAGAGTGCCCAAGATGATCTCGGGGCTCCCAGAGTTGGTGAATACCCCATTCCGTTTCTTCTTGTCACAGCTCAGTTCTTATCGGATGCCAGGCAAGATGTTTGGCTGCCCTGTCCAGTCTGGACAGTCTCCTTCATTCAAAGCACAAGGCGTTTGCATATGAAGTCTGATCTTCCCTGAGAGCTCTGGCAGGGATTCATGGATACTGGGCAGCTCAGCAATGTCAAATGTCCCTGCTCAGATGTGAATCATTTCTAGGTGGCTGCACACCAATCTCGGGAGTGATTGAGGAGGGAGATGTGGGCCTCACCAAGTCAACCGGCACTGTGAGCTCGGGCTCTGTGGCTCTCCACCTCTGGTGTGGGCAGAGTGGCAATGCGATGTGCCTAGTACAGGAAATTTGCATGAGTAGGCTGTCATTTGTCACTCATCATGCTAGACCCTGAGATTCAGCTGCCAACTAGACAAGGTCCTTGAATACGTGGTGGAGAGATCAGGTGGGGGTATCGACAAGAACACAGTAGGCAGCAAAGAAAAGGAGACTCTGACCCCATCGGGGCTGGGGGCCTTCCATGGATGGAAGTTGAGGGAATTTCCAGATGGAGGCCTGAGGGATGGACAACAGGAGGGAGACACATGCAGGGACCTGGAGGCCAGCAGTGGCCAGGAAATGAGATGGACATGCAGGGATGGGACGTGGAGGGCAGAGGGTGAGGGGGTGTCCACTGAGGCTGGGATACATGGAGCTGTGAGTTTGAGGGGTCTGTCTAAGGAGCTTTCCTTCTAGGGGGAAGGTCTTGGGGACTCATGGGAAAGCTTGGAGTTGAGCCTAATGCTCTCTGTAGCTGCTAGTAGAGGCCACATTGATGGCCTCTCAGGGACATTTGCAGATCAGAGGGGCTTATGTTCAGGCATTTCGAGTTGAGATAAAGAGAAGGATGGACAAGAAATAGGGCAACAAGGAATATTCGGAGGGAAAGAAGGAGGGTGTCAGAGAAGTTCTCAGACTGAACGGGAGAGCTCCCAGTGAACCAGGGACCTTTGACC